ATAATTTATGGTCATATCTAAAGCAGATGATGAAGATCTCAGATTTTTCAATAATCTCCGGCCATGTAGCAAACTTTTTCTCCTTTTTCAAAGCTTGGATTAACATTGGACTATAATGTGAACTCATTTTTAGAGTGGCATTAATTTCTATATTAGACTATAATTACATAAGCTATAATTAGACTATGAATTCCTAAGTTGGTGTTGGAACTTGAAGTTTGAGTTAAATTATAGTGAATGAGAGACGTTAATGATAAAAAAAAACTTTACACATAGAAAGTCTGGGAGGAATAATTCATTGTGGATACAAGACTAGAAAAGTAGCTTCAAGGACCTACTTCAGTAATCTTTAAACATACATTTCAATGAAAATAATTTTCTTTGATTCGAGGGGCATTTCTTGTACTTTTAAGTGTCTTACTGAATCTGAGATTAAGGGCTAATTATGAAAACATTTGAGTAGATATTTTATCAAATACTTTCATATTTTATGCCTACAAATTCAAAGACATCTAAACAGGAATTTTCTTTTGCATCTAAATGTGGTCATTTGGGAGCTTCAATCTCACTGTGTTTCCCAGTTCTTTTTGCCCCAGGTCTATACATATTTTAGGAAAGTACCCAAAGCAAAGAGGTTTAAGTATCAGTGATAAAATGTAGTACATTTCCTTTGGTGTATTGGGCCACTACAAAGTGGCCCACTCAAAAACTGCCCTCATCTTGGATTTTCCTAACTTCACATAAAATTTGAGTTGTGTATTTTAACCTGTGTGTTGCCCATAGACTTTTTAAACTTCCCAAGACTTAGCAGCTGAATCGCTCCTGCTAAGATTATCTCTGTGTTTTTCCCAATTATTGTTAAGTGCAAAATGAATAAGGAGGCACAGAATCATGGAGAAAGAACAAAGTGTCCTGTCTCCTAGCTAAATGCCAGCTTTCCTTAAGCTTGGTATTCAGCAGTTTGAGTTAGGAATTTGCTCAGAGACACGAATTTAGATACCTCTTGTCTCACCATTAAACTCTCATTTAGAAGGTTAGAGGCGCTACTGTCAAAGTCGTTTTGAAAAAGTCAAGTCCTATTCAGCCCTTCACAAGAAACCCTTCAAGCATCGTGTCTTAGGAGTGACTCACACTGCCATGTCCAGCTGCAGAGAGCCACCGTTCTCCTCCATCCTATGTAATTGGTAGCAGACTTCATGACCCCATAGTTCTTGCCCATGGCCCTCGGCTCTTGGGAGCAATGTCCTGGTTGAGTTCGGGGTCGCATGAGCTCTTCCCAGAAGTTATACATGAGACCACCCAGTGCAGGAGGTGGTATGGGCAGGGAGGATGGCAAGATGATTTACCATGGAGCTGGGAGACATGCTGTGCTGCTTTTCCCCCAGGGACTAAGAAATAAAGGACTGTCTCCCACTTTATTTACTGTCTGAACATAGCCTAATGGACCCTAAAAGTTCCCTCTGACACATCACTGTGAGTCTTGCGCTTGCTGGTAAACACAGAACTTTCTCTTATTCCTCTCTTCGCTAATAGAGCAAAGCTGCTTTACTTCTATAGACACAACTTAAATGGCCTGGGGCTTGGAAAACCTGACTTCACTTCAGCACGAGTGTGGACCGAAATTGGAATGAAACTCAGCATTTGGTGCTTCTTAGTGGCAATTCTAGGTGGTGTCCCAATGCGTAGGGTGTAGGGTTTTTAGATCACCCCTCTGAAGTTGTGTCCTGGGTTCAAACTGGTTGTAATTGCCTGCTGGCCTCAGTGAGTTCAGAGCAGAATCTGAAGTTTTCTTCAACTTTTTTCTTTCTTTTTCCTCCCGTCTAAGGAGACGTGCCCACAGCAGTAAGGAAACACATGCCTTCCGAAGTTTAACGGTGGCAGTTTGAAAACCACACAACATTTCCATGACCAAAAGGATTTAAGTGGTTTAAAAGCTATACTGACTAGGGTTTTTGAAGATGGAATGCATAACAGGATGTTAAAAAAAAAAGCTTTTATGATTTTATTCAGAAAAATAAGCTTAATTGGTAAATTATCCATTTGATTTAGATTTGATTTAGAAGTGTGACTAGGAAATGCAAACCACACACAGTTTTTCATCATAGCTGATAATCTTTTTGAACACATTAGTTGAAAAAATTATTTTCCAGGAATATACTAGAATTACTGACTTCTTCTTTACTGCAGTTTCTCTTGGTCAATAGCAAAAGAGATCTCTGTGTCTTTAGCTTTAGTTATAATGGTCTGATTAAAATATTCTGAATTTCATCTTATGCTGTGTTATTTCTGTGTGTCCTCATAACAACAGAGGTTGCATGATGTGCTGAGATAATTTTTGACCCAATAAGGTTTTTTTGTGTGTTTTTTTTTTTCCTGATGTTAGGAAAATATTATTGTTTTTAATGGTAGCCATAAAATGGTGAGATTTATCTTTGGAAAGAAAGAGATACAGGCAGATTCATCTTGGTCCCTTGGCTGACTTTGGGTTCTGTTGCAGGAAAGTTTAACACTGATCATGGTTTTTGCTAAAACTGCCTAGTTTCATCTGACTTGCTGACTCAATTTTCCAGCTGGTCCCTTATTCTATGCAGTTCCAGAAGAAACAATGGGAAAAAGAAAACTCTTTTGAGCATAACACCCCTTTGCCAAGCCAAGTAACAATTAAAAACTCCAATTTACATTGCAGTTCTTTATCTCTGTTAATTACCCAACAGTAAATCATATGTACTGGACTTTGCTTGTTGTCAATAATTAAATTTCTAGATTTTCTTTTATAGATTAGCTGCAGATTTGATGTGCTGCTTCTTTTCCCTTCATTACATACCGTTTCACAACTTGAGTCCAATGTTTCAGTGCAGTGTTTCATTTTTATATTTGAAAACAAATGCTAGACAGTCTCGTCTTATTGACTCATGGGTTTTGTACACAGACAAGCACACCCCTGTGACTGTTTCTTATTTACTAAATTAGCCACTTTTAATCATGTTAAAAGAGACATCAAGTCACTCAGCTATCTTAGTTGTACTTTTTAGTGGGTTTTGGTGATTTCACCATCATCTTGAAGAAGAAAATAATTCGAAGGAAGTGTTTAGTGGGCACTAAGTTGTAACAGTTGTGAGTGCAGAAAAGAGCAAAAATGTTCCAAGGACCTTGTGAACTGAGAGGTATTGATAGAAAATAACACTGTGATATTCAACTTGGAAAAATGTTCAGTGACTAAATGGAGACAGAAAGATCCATTAGAAGGGATATAGCTGGCACTTTGTGAAAAAGGTCAAGGACAAATGGAGATGGCAAATCTGACTTGAATTTATAAGGTGATAGAGCAATAAAAAAGCAAATGAGATGCAGACATATCAGTTGACATCATGTAACTGCTATCAATGCTGATATTTTCAAGGTAATGGAAGGTTTTTTTCATCTGTCTTTATACATATGAGCTATGGGAGGAAAATTTTATCACATCGCACATGTACAATCATTCCCATACCTGTGTAACTAGAACTATCGTGGGCTTGAGTCATTGCTCAGGGGGAGCATGCTGTAGGGCACAGTTTTGGTGGAAATTTTCCCTGTATTAAAAAAAGAAAAATGTAATCAATCTGATAGACATTAGTTACATTAATTCAGCCTTTAGATACAGAAACAAATGGCTTATATGTATAAAGGAGATCAAAAGCTGTTGATTAAGAATGACATCCAGCACAATTTTTGTTTTGCCCTTCTTGCATGTAAGGGTCAACACTAATAAAGTTTCACCATTTGCTAGCTGCTGACTGATGATTTGGAGCTACTCCGAAACACTTGGTTAATATATAAGCTCCAATTTTGTCACACAGTTTTGCTTACTTATCTGACAAATGAAGATCTGCCTTGGAATATGCTAAAAAAATATGAAAAGTTCTATAAATGACCAAGCAGCAGTCAGTAAGCAGTCCAAAGTAGGGTCTGCAAGTTTACATTGTAAATATTATTTAAAGAAAACATTAACTTATTACTCATTTATAGCCTCCTTGCAAATTAAGTGTAATATGTTTTAATTTTCAATATAGTCATCAAATGAGAGAAAAAAAAAGTCTGATTTTGTACTGTAATCCATGTTTTGTAAAGTGGGTAAGGTCCATAAAGAAACAGATGATTGAAAAGCAAAAACAGTCTGATCCTGGGCCATTTCTTATAAAGTACATGATAATAGTAATATGCTATTAAATCTGGTGGGGATTTTTCCCACCTTTTAAAGGATTGCTCAGCTTCTGAGCAAAATGTTCAGCCAGAAGCTGGAACATAACATTCCTATTTCATACGAATTGTAATTTGTGTACAGAATTACTTTTTCTTTGTTTTGGTTTTTTTTTTTTTTTTCGTCATTTAGATCAGAAAAATTGAGGGGAAAATAATTTCTCAGCTACAGAGCTAGATTGGGCTTGCATTAACCAAACAGAATAGAATAAGGCTTGCAAAATGAATAAATATCAGGAGCTTAAACCTGAAAGTCCTTCCGTAGAATTCTGTTGATCTAGCATAGTGATTTTGCTCTGGAGGTCAGAGCAAAAGGAGAATTTCTTTTTAGGGATATTTGAAAATTTCATACCTTTCTGAAATAATTTTATAACCTGAAAAAAACATTTTACATTGTTTTAAATCCTATATCCAACATCAATAAGAGCTTAGGTCAACTGATTTAAAAAAACTCTGAAGCACTCTAAAAAAAATCTGTAAATACTTCTTAGAGAATAACCCATGTAAGAGCTTAAAAGCATCAAAGATTTATGAGTGTGCCTCCTATGAGCTTTCCTACTAATATTTTCCCAAAATATTCAGTAGGAATACATAAAATATCACAATACTGTTGTGGCAATTGTAGTGATGTAAAACAAGAATTTTACAGTTTTCTTTTAGTGTTCAAATATGTCAAAAATCCAAGCAACATTAATTAACTTGAGAGTAACAGCTAATTAATGACATTGAGTTATATGCATTTTTTTTTCCAATTTGCATAGGTACGTGTGTTCACATTTTCTGTTGGTCAACATAATTATGACAAAGGACCCATACAGTGGATGGCCTGTGAAAACAAAGGTACTGCACAGTTCTTTGAGGTTATGCTTGGCTAGAGCTTTAGATAGGCAATAGCTTAAATATTATGCAAATACCACAGATTTTTCAGTCTGATTTAAGTTTTATTGTATTTTTGAGTGAACGTGGTTCATTCATGTAGTACTTCAGAATAAATTGGCATTCAGGAGTACAGTTCAGTACATTATTTCATCTTATAAAATAAAAAATATATAAATAAAGCCAAAAGAAACACACTATACACTGACAGTGCTTAAGAATAGCTAGCCCAGCCTGGCATGGTGATCTAGCATATGTAGACATGCAATGCAATGCTGACAAAAAAAAATCTTCCATTCATAAGCATGATAGTTTTCATAAAATTTAATTAGAATTTATAATTTAAATTAATTAGTATGAAGAGTTTAGCACCATCATATAATAAGATATTATTGTTTCTGCTTTAAATTTTAGGTTATTATTATGAAATTCCTTCCATTGGAGCAATAAGAATAAACACCCAGGTAAGTGTGCTTGCAGAAGGTAGAAGATAGTTGCAACACGAGAAAGTGGAGTAGTTTTCACTTCAGTCTATTAAACATTAAGACACACTATGTTAAGAGCAGATTTCTTTTCTCTTTCCAGTAGTTGCAGTGAGTCAATGTACAGAGTGATCCCAGCTCCAGGATGCAGATGGCCAGAGTGGCTTGTGTGCATGCTGGTGCACCCAGCTGGTGCACGGGTGCATACTGGTGCATACTGGTGCATGAACGGTTGCATACTGGTCCTGCTGGTGCATGAACACACACTGGTCATGCTGGCGACCGCTGCCGCGGGCTGACCTTGTGCACACAGCGTAGAGCTTGGACTCCGTGCTCTCTTGGACTCTGTGATCCCAGTCTGGCCTGCAAACGTGGGTGTCTGCTCACTCACAGGTGTTCTAGCGTGCTATGGAGATCACACACTGCACTTGCTCCTTCTCTGCATAAGGACTACAGTTTTCCTCCAGGCCTTGTATAAGCCCACTGCCATCCTTAGACACTTTTTTTTTTTTTAATAAATCTCTCCTGTTTTGACATTCATAGGCATTCTTTTTTTCCTGTTTAGACGTTCACAGGCTCTTCCTGCTGTACTTGTGTTTCCTACAGTGTCACTGTTGTATTATGTGGAGAAGGCTGCAGAGTGGTGTGAGGACATAACCCTGTGAAAATAATATCATGGCATTGAGCTGGGCACAAGCAGGGACCTGGCACCCTCCTGATTATTGGAGAGGTTCCTGGATGGATCCTGCCAATCTGGGAGAGACACAGCTGTTCTCCTTCTGCAGGGATGCAGGAGCAATTTGGCAGGCAGGAGCATAGATAATTGAGGACACAAGACCCAGGGATTACATGACATGACCCAAACCAACCCTGTAGATGAGCTTACATTCCTTTTCATTGTCAGAAAGGTCATGTATTTAGATGTTCAGAAAAGCACAGAAATCCAATAGCAGTAGATATGTCCTTCCGAAGTCAGAATGACATTTTTGGTGCAAATTATTTAGGCATGAATAAAAGTCCTTTAATTCTGTTAAACTCCTCCAGATAGGGTCTGGCAACTGGAAATGTTACTAAAATGTTAAGATGAACATGTAAGGTTGAAGCTTAAAATAAGTTTCATGGCATCACCTCATAACCAAAACAGAAGTCTGACATCCCACCAGACCAGCTTTATCCATATTCTGGGACTAAAGAAAGGCAAAGACTGCATGGTTTTAAAT